TATAGGGTATTATAGCAAATCGGCTATTATAATAAAAACTAATTATTAATAATTTTATAACCGTTATATAGCTATAACGGGTAAAATCACTATAATTAGCTATTTAACTATAATTTTCGATATAATTACGGCTTATATAGGCTTATATATAGGCCTATAAAAAATCGGCTATTATAACGGAATTCTAAAATTTACGTTAAATTAACTCGTTTAAAAAAACGGCTATAATTTTCGATATAAAATCCGGTTCCTAATATAATCGATATTATACCGGACCGGGCTTATAACCTATTCTAAAATATAATTAATAAATTATAAACTTAAGCACAAAAAAGCGTTCGTATAATTCGTAAAATCAGGCCGTAAAAATAATTATAAAGCTATATAACTAATTTATTAAAGCTTAAGGAAAAAATAACTAATTATAAAGGAATAACTACCTTTTATATTTATAAAATCAATTAATAAAAACATTTTAAAATATATTACTAATAAATTAAATTTATAATTAAATTAATTAATAATAAAGTTAATTTATAATCGAAAAAACTATCGAAATTTATAAATTTCTATAATATAGGTTACCCTATAACCTAAGGCCATTATAGCCAGGTGCATTAGCTATATTTAATAGGGCTAAATCCAATAAAACGTTTTACTAAATTCCAATAAATTCCAATAGCTATAGTGGCCATAACAATTAATTATAATAACTTATTAATTATATAGCATTATAAATAATGGCTATAAATAGTGCTATACTAACTATAGGTCAGTATAGGGTAAATTTTACTGATTTCCTATATATCGTTATTTAACGATATCTCGATAGGTTTTATAGCTGTTATAACGATATAATATGCGTTATAAAGCTAATTTTATGCATTATACGATGCTATATTAACATCCGTGTAATAAAAAATATATTTAAATATTATTAAATTAAATAATTTAGAAATATTTAAAAAATATAGGAAAAATTAACTAAAAATTAAATAAAAATATTTAGGAATATTTTAAAAATATTAATATCGGTAATATATTAAAAAAAAATATATTTTACCGTAGTTTTTTCGAATAAACGCTAAATAATATTATTATTATATTATCGAAGCTAATCGATAAGCTATATTATATAATTAAAATAAATTTTATAAACGGTTATATTTATAGGAATATTTTTTAGCTTTTATTTTTCGAAAATAAAATCTTTTAAATTTTTTATTATTAGTAATATTAAAAATAAATAGCGCAAAAATTATAATATTTGCTAAAGCTTATAATAATAAAAACGTAATAAAAAATAAATAAATAAGCGGACCTAATTTTATTAAAGCCTAATTAAATTTAAAAAAATTTAATTAATATTAGGGCAGGCGCGCGCGTATCGCGATAAAATTTAATAGCGATATAAGCTTCGGTTATTACCGCAATATAAATAAAAGCTTAAGAAAAATATAATTTAATATTTACGGTTTATAGCTAAAAAAAAAAGCCGTTATAATTTAATAAATAAAATTTTTAGGTTATAACGGTAATATAGGAAGGAAAGAAAATAAATTTTCCGAAATTTATAAATAAGATAGGCAAATATCGGGCAGGCGTAAGCGTACTTGCCGCTAAACCCAAAAGCATTTTATTATAAACTGAGCTCTAAACCGTCGTACCCAAGACCGATTGATCCGTCGATTTGCGCCTCGCTAAAATCTTTTGCTTCTTAAAAGACAGCTTTTCATAAGCCTTTGTGAACCCTCACGGCAAATTTAAAGCTTGGGCAAGGTACACACTCCCCTTAAATCCTTTTTAAAAAAGGGTGGATGGAATAATGAGCCCGCCGCCCAAGGCCGTATTAAAACGGTCGATATATGGCGCACGGAAGGCCGATTGCAAAACGGCACGCCGCGCAGCCGCGGCGGGACGGAGGCAGTCGGGAGTGCGTCCTAGATAAATCAGCATGCAAGCTCGTGTCGTGTAAAAGATGTTGCATTTTTGATAGTTATCATGGTGACTTTAGGTATTCCCTGCGCAATTTGAGCGGCTTCAACAGTTTGCCTGCTGGACAACCGCACATCACCCTTCACCACACCGGCATTTTCGCCCTCCTCTTTATATCCCACTTTCGTAGCTACATTTGCAAACTTTGTATTGAGAGATCTCTTGACACGATCATCAATATTAGTGGCCAGGTCCCTGACCTTACAAAAGCTTACCTGAGCCAGTGTGAAGAAAGAGATAAAATCGAGGGAACGTAAGAAAGAAATCTGTTGGTCCTGTAAATCTACAAAAGGGAGGTGCTAAAGAGCTATCTAATACACCCGAGCAGGTGATCTAGAGTGAGTGCTAACCTCGTTAATGCAACACCATATTCAGGTTGGACGTTGCGCGACCGCGAATCCGAGAGCTGCGGCCACATCAATGCGGATTCCCGAGCGTCGCTTCCGGTGGCGTCTTTTTGGCGCGGCACGCGCGGTTCGGGGCCCCGGTGCCACCGCCCCGCCCCTGCTCATGACAGGCTCCTATCCGAGGTTGGCAGGACTTTTGCGTCAGTAGTGTTCGCCATACCCGCTCTGGACGCGGTGCAGATGACCGTAAACAACAATATCTCAAATTCGTTTCTGCTACTGTCTGAACTGTGTTAGAAAAGCCAAACAAACACAAAGCTTCTGAGGATTTAAGGCGCCTGCCGAACTTCCACGTCATGTGTAGGACTTTGCTTGCTGTACTTCGGATTGCATCAGAATACGGTCCATTTCATATATCTCATCCGAATGGGCTTTAAAAGGACTAGTTGTGAAACTGATGGCATCTTTCGGCTCTTTGTGTATGCCAGCCCTCTGCGCACTCTGCGCAGAGGCCGGGGCGCCAGCTGATCCGCCAGATTTTACGTTCGAACTCTTGCGAGATGACTTGTACTGGCTGTAATTGCTGTGGATCTTCATGTATAAAGGTCGCATAATGGGTAGACAGGCAGATATTATGCCTACCGATGTCTCGATGAACGACCAAGTAGATGTTTCCCCGGCTATCCAGGTTATATCTTTCGTTTCGGTTCTTTGGACGAAATAAGAAACGCGTATCCATGATGCAATGCACACCCTTTGTAAGTTAGTACGTCCACATATATCTCTTGAAAAGGGACTACTAGACTCACAAACACCCAAGCAGCAATACTGCACAAATTCCCAACCTCCTCTTCATAGATATATTGAGCCACCATATCTTCGGAAGAGGCGTTATCAGGATGATGACGTCGAGAAGTCCGTTAATTATACCTGATGCAAGCAAAAATACTGCTTGATCAAAGCAAACACCATGAGCACCGGGAGTGAGCTTATGCCATGAGTAACTCAAAGGTCTGCAGACTGTTAAATTACCGACAGTAATAGCAATCATTTGGCAGACAACGACACAAGCCAAGAAATCGAGCCAGAAACGAAACGCCGTTTTGTGAGCCGCAAAGATGCGGCGATACAGCAAAATAATCGATAGTTTCGTTATGGAGACGGTCAACACCCAAAAGAATGTGAAGATGAAGGTAATCTAGAATATTAGATGTTCACTGTCAATAAAGAAGACTCGAAACAGGTTGAGCGAAGTATTACGAACCTTCAAGCCATTGTTCACCTTTTCTTTCGTGAGAGACCAAATATGGTGCCCTGCTCCACCGTCCGGGCCGACTGATATTGTTAGTATACTTTCGAAAAGCTTATTGCTGAGAAACATACACAAAATGTTTATACTAGCGGTACCAATGCACAATATCTTGGTACAAGTCAGAAACAACCCAATCAAACTTCAATATAGAGAAGACCTACTAGTGCCACAATAATAGTGTAGTCGTCTGCGTACAAATGAGAAGCGCCAATTTTCTTGGCAGCGAGGCGCGCTATGACCGCAAGGATCGTAAAAAACAGAAGTACACCAGTCACGATGCCGTCCCGAGTCCCACGTTCCTCGTTCAAGTCGATTCCCGTTGGCGGGGGGCCAAAGACCGCAACAATGACGGGATCGAGGCCAGACATGGTGTATGAATATTGCCCAGCAGTCTCGCCCGAGATCGAAGCTGATGAGTGCGACGAACTCTGGATAAAGAAGAAGGAAGTTTGGACATTGTGCGAACAGACCAAGAGTTCAATAATCTAGTCGGTCATTCGCGTGGCCCCCCAAAGCTCAGTTCTCCACAACGTATGTGCATGCCAGCAGTTGGGTGGCACATTACCTAGAATGCATGAGTGCGGCGGGGGATGGAGAAATGATGCAGATACTTTACCCAGGTAGATAACCCACTCGCAGCTTTTCACCAAATCAAAAGATGTAAGGTACGTAGGTGAGGCTAATTATGGCAGCATTTGAATCCTTCTGTACAGATTAGTATGGGTCCAGTCACAGATCCTGGTCTGGTGCAGATTACTCCTGGTACCTGCGCGTGTCAGTTGCGCAAGTTTGGTGCTGTTGGGCTGTGTAATCGCGCTATTGAAGTCCTTCGTCGGTATGCCGTAGAGGAATATAAAAAATGTGCCTTGCAACCGTGTGGTCCTGCGACGCAAATACTTTTGTGGGCCAATTTCACGATGCGCATTGCATGGTTGTGCTGAAATCCTCGTCCCATCCCGAAAAAGAGCAATTCACCATACGAGCTGCCAAATCCCGAGTCATGTCCCTTGTAAAGCACAACATCGGAAACCCCCTCCTCGCTTTGATCTCTTTATGAGACCTTCGTTACCAAGGTTTATCTTAGCCGGGCCAGTGTGTGAAGGGAAAGATATGATCCAAGGAGCCCAAAAAGATGTCTCTGCTGATTAATCCTACGATCTACAAAAGAGACGTGCTGCAGAGCTTTGTAATCTACCCCAACAGGTGATCTGCGGTGGGGGTACTGACTACGTCAGTGCGACAGTGTTGCAATGATATTGGGGATGCTCAGCGGCCTGGTGCATCATCGCTTCACTTTCATTGCATCTCAACAGTAGTATTGACCAAGCCTCTAACATTTCACAGGAATGGCTGATTTCTCCCAGTACGGCACGCCTAGCGAGGAATGGCGCAAAGTGAGCAACTTGGTGCCTGCTCCTCACCCTGGCTTGTCTTTTATTGAGAGGAGGGAGCACAGCAATCGTACACGTGAACAACTCTCTGCCGATGAGATGAAGATTTGGGAACCTTTGGTTCAGAGAAAAGATCATACGATTCCCACCCGGGATCAATCAACTATTGAGGCTCGCAGCTATCGACCGGCGAATGCCGACACGACAGGAAAGCCTCCGGTATTGCTGTACCTCCATGGCGGCGGGTTCTTTTCCGGCACCATCGCCACTGAAGATGCTACTTGCTCTCGTCTCGCCGTCCACAACAACGCCATCGTCCTCAACGTCTGCTATCGGCATACTCCCGAGCACACGTATCCTACGGCGTGGGATGATACCCATGACGCTTTTGAATGGCTCCATGATCACATCGTTGATCTGGGCGGCGACTATCAGCGGGTGCTCGTGGGGGGCATCTCATCAGGAGCCTACCTGGCGGCATCCTTTGTGCTCGAGAAGCATCTAGGTCGGCGGTGTGTGTCCCGCCCAGCTATTGCAGGCCAAATACTCATGGTTCCGTGTTTGCTCAACACTTCCTGCCATGGGCCGATACTCAAGAAATTCAAGGACCCTGCTGTTTGTTCTTTACAACAACTCTGCAACGCACCAACGCTCCCTATGTCTACTTTCCAAATGATTACTGTATGTCACCTCCCTGTCTGGATTCCACTTTTCTGTATAATTAATTATAACTATCCAAGAAAATGCTACAAATTCCAGATCCAAAAGAAGAAGACCTTCGTTTGAATCCGGGCTATGTCTCAGCCTCACGAGCAGAAGGACTACCCCCCACGGTAATCGTAACAGCTGGTATGGACATTCTTAGAGACGAGGGATTGCTATACGCAAAAACTCTGACAGAAGCAAGGTAGGTTGTCTGTTGTGAAGCATTAATTGACCATGTCAAGTCAGGCTGACTGAAATGTTCGAAATACCTTTAGTGTTCCAACAGATGTGCACGTGGTTCCAGGCTTACCGCATGCCTTTGCAGCGATTCCGGGATTGAGCGAGGGCAAACAACGTTGGAACAAGATTCTGGACGGGGCAATTGTTTGGGCCCTGTCGAAACCTACCGCTAAAGAAAATTTTAGTATTCAAGCTGAGTAGATATAACAACGCAGCGAGGATTATGTCGAGTCTCAATTAATATATGCTTTGTCAATCGTTCATCTTCAAGTACTACCAAGGACGCCATACTGATGGATAAACGTTATGCTGCAGGGCAGTTAAACGAATCCCGGTCAGTCCAAAGGCCGTGTGATCATCAGGAGCGACCGATGGAATGAGATCCTAGTATTGTGCGGCTTTTCCCGGGTATCGTGCTACGCCTTACCCGATATCCGCTACACTCGACATACAAGATAGGCGAGGTAGGACCTCACAAAGAAGGATTCCCGTATTGATCACCGGCTGTCATGTGGTGGCTGCACGATTACCGAAACTGCGCCAAACGCGTGGCAATTACCGAGTGACCTTGTAACCTACCTAGTAAGCCCACTTTCCAATCTGCATTTTCCAGGATTGAATCTTGTAGGCACTGCAGATTGAGTTGGGGGTTATATGCTAATTGAGGGCATTTCAGTGCTGTGTTGGTCAAGCTGGCCGAAGGCGTCTGACTGGTAGTAATAACGACCCTGATCAACACTTTGCAAACGCATGCTAGATTAAATCGCTTTGGATTGCCGGCCACAGTTTGGCAGCGCATGGCGATATCTCCAACACAACCAGGATGAGCCAGCGCTCAAAATGCGTTATGCGTTAAAGTGTAGCATCAATTCTGTTTTTATTTTGTTGCTGTATGTTCGTCCCGGCACCAGCTGTATAAAAATTGTGCGACGCGTCCTGCCTGTCCCCGTCTTGCATCGGCTGCCCCGCGTGCTGGGATGCGATCGGACATCCGTAGCGCCGCATACTGACCGATTCAACACGGCGCCCGACGGTCACTTATCATTCCGACCACCATCTTCCGACATCTCGCATGCATTCTGCCTTGAATTCACCTTCGCCGCATCGCTAGAACGCTACGAGCTATCATTTCATTCAGGTCCCTCTCTTTATGTCAGCTTTGGGGTTATTGTAGACGGGCTCATTGCAGACCGCACGGGGCATCCGATACGAAATGAGGAGAGATATCATGTTGTGGAACCCTTGGCATCTTGTTGAGATATGGACCCCGCATTGGCTTATCAGTGAAGTGTATATACTCTGAACATACTTGGAATTCCTGGTCAAGAGAGTTCCATTTTTCTGAATATTTTCGCTCTTGTCTAGAACAGCAAAAGTTGGCCCAAGACACAGGCCACTTCAACCATGGCGCGGCGACTTGTTAATGCGATCCTTGGCGTCGCAGTATTCTTTTTTCCAAAAACAGTAGAATGTCTGGATCCTAACATCACCGTCCTCAATGGCACTTATGCCGGACTACATTTACCTGCGTTCAACCAGGATTTGTTCCTAGGCATGCCATACGCCCAAAACACCAGCGGCGAGAACCGATTTCGGATTCCACAGACCTTGACGGAAACTTGGCAAGGTGCACGTAGCGCAAAGCAATATGGACACGCTTGTCCGGACGAGAACATTGAGGCAGACGGAGTCTACGGCATGAGCGAGAATTGTCTAAGTATCAACGTCGTGCGACCTGCAGGCATCAATACAACAGAGAAGATTCCTGTCATGCTCTGGATCCACGGCGGAAGGTAAGTGAATTACTGTAATCTGGCGCGGCATCATCTCAGCTGACCTAAAGTATCATAGCTATCAAGTAGGCACGAGTGCGCTGCCGAATTACAACCTGACCTATATCGTTCAGAGATCTGTGGCCATTGGGAAGCCTGTCCTTGGAGTCAGTATCAATTATCGAAAAGGAGCATGGGGAATGCTGTACTCGATCGAAATTCAGGTAAGTTTAGAACAATTAGTTCTGAAGTCGCTGGAACAGATATGCAAACAATCAATTAGGGATCGGGCAATGCCAACTTGTCCTTGAGAGATATGCGCAAGAGCCTTGAATGGATCCAGGAAAACATCAAATTCTTCGGAGGGGATCCATCTCGGGTAACAATATGGGGAGAATCCGCAGGTTCATTCGCCGTTGTGAGTTTGTAGTCCACGTACTTGGAGGATGGCGAATTGACTCAGAACAGGGACAATTACTGCTAAGTTATGGTGGACGTTCAGATGGATTGTTTCACCGTTCAATCCAAGAGAGCGGCTCAGCAACGACGGTAAGTGCTTCAGGAGTGCTGCTCCTCAGTTAGACCATGGATAAGCATTAACTCTTCTCAGGCTTGGTATAACGGCTCGGATTGGTATCAGCCACTGTACAACCAGATCGTGAATCAGGTCAATTGCAGCGACACGCCTGACACTTTATCTTGTTTGCGTGCTATTGACTACGATGTACTTTATCCAATCATGATGTCATCTCAGTTTGCTGGCCCTGGTTTCTATCCTACTGTTGTGAGTGACCGACCAATCAAAACTCACCCTGATTCGCCTAGAATATCACTGTCAAGGAAGACTCTTGATGTCATACCTTTATGGTATGGCCGTGTCTGCACCTGCTTTACAATGCTTGCTGTATCGAACTTTGCTGATCAAATCGTTAGGACGGAGACATAATTCCAAACTATCCCAGTACTCTCATGGAGATGGGCCAAATTGCTGACGTCCCGCACTTGTATGGCACAAACTCTGACGAGGGTACGGATAATGCACCAGTGGGGACAATGAACACAGATGAGGATATCCGCAATTTCCTCCTGTACGAAATTGGCTTCGATTTTCCGGAAGCAGTCGTCGACAAGATAATGGAACTTTATCCCAATGATCCTGCCCAGGGCATACCTCTGAATACTGGCAATGAAACCTTTGCCGAGGAGGGTCTGCAGTACAAGCGCATCGCCGCCATCCTAGGTGATGTGTTCTATCATGCACCACGACGACACGATGCACAGCGCTATGCTGCCCATGCGCCGACCTTCACCTATCGCTTCAACACTCGTGGTTTCGTCAACTCTACCAATGCTACATTTACCGATTACTCAGGCGAGCTGCAGCCAGCATACAAAGGCGTGTCTCACTTCACCGAAGTTGCCTTTGTGTTCTCGAACCCCCAGTATGTAGGGCCGTGGCCAGAGTATCAGGCTTTGAGTCGCCAGATGAGCGCGCAGTGGATCAATTTTGCCTACTACGGAGACCCTAATGGGGACTCTCTGCCCACGTGGCCGAAGTACAACGAGAGCAGCAACGGGCTCAATTTGGTTTTGCAAACCGAATCCCAAGGTGGTGCATACGCTGAGAACGACACGTATCGATTGACTGGACGCGACTTTTTGACGACGTGGGCAAGAAGGCGACATGTGTAACGGCAGATCCTCTTGCTTATATAGCGATATATTGCATTTGGATTTGGAAATTTTGAGTTATTTCCACTCCAGCTCTGACAACATATCAAATATGTCCGCCTGCAACGAAATATAGATGAAGCAAAATCATAATTTTAGTAATTAATTATATTTTCACTAAACTATGAGTTGATACGTAATTTTTACAGCTTACACACAATTCAAAGTATTGACTGATTGAAAGGCACACAATTTAGATCCACAAGACCATAAAGATGGAAGCAATTCGATCCCCATGCGTCAGAGCTCTTAGGTGCTACCTGCAAGAATCTCGGCGGCCTGCTCAGCAAGCGCGTAGGTTGCAACTTGCAGGTGAGCACTGATGGCAACGGGAAATACAGAAGTATCAACAACATAAAGATTATCCACTCCAATCACCTTTAAATTTGTATCAACAACTTTCCCCATTGCTGCAGTTCCATGAGGATGATAGGCCGTTCTAAGAAACACGATTAGCAGATTATCTTCTAGCTTTGAAATAGATGAATACTGACCGTAAAGTGGCACGAAGTCGGGTGTCAAGCTCTTCGTCTGTAATGACGCTGGAAAGTGCCGGGGAGCCATCCGGTGGGATTTCGCCTGCGAAAATATCTCTTCCCAATACTGTAGTATTCCCTCCTGCAAATGCATACTGCAGCCTCGAGGCCTCGCGAAGGACGTATCGATCGACTTCAGTACCGAAGTAGTTCGGATCGAGCAGCGGAAAGTCACTAATGTTGGCAGATGCAAGTGTGACTGACCCTCGCGCACTGGGAATGAACAAGATGGACATGAAGGACACCGTGGCGCCGCTGGTTCCGGTGTATCCAAAGTATTGAAAGACATGTTCCAAGAATGTACGATCAGTACGGAGTAGTGGGTGCGTCTCTGGGTCGGGAGCAACGCCTTCGTCAATTTCAATGGCGACAGCAAGACCGTCCCGAGGCACGCTCGTTGAGACCATGTAATCCTGTGGATTACCCCAGCCGTATTGCTCCTCCTCGAATAGAGGATTCCCAGAGCCAGGGATCCAGCCTTCGTCGGGGTTTCGAATGGTCCAAGTGGAAGTTGTGGATGAGTGCTGGATCAAGTTTCGACCGACGTCGGGCAAATCAAGATTCACGTCTATCTCGAGACTTTCAAGCTCAGACGCCGGTCCAATTCCCGATAAGAGTAGAATCTGGGGAGTACGGAACGCTCCAGCTGATAGAATGACCTTGCTCCCAAGTATCTGAGTGCCGTTGGATAGTTGGATGCCGAGAGATGTCAACACTCCATCGACATCTTGGACTAAGACCTTTTCTACCAAGGTCTCGGTCAATACATCAATTCCGTTGAGTGGATAAATGACAGATGCAATTTCCCTTCTTCCATTGTGCTTATTCTCAGAGAAATCGCCAACGCCAAGGGGGTTTCCAGCATTGGCATCTAAGTCAGGCAACTCAAAAACGCCAATTTCATTCCAAGCTTGGAACACGGGCTCACGCAGCGGGAACGAGCGATTGGTAGAAGTGACGGTCTGAACGAATACCGGCCCGTCGTAGCCATGCTGATCCGGGTTTCTATCCGGGTGTTGGAATGCCTCTGCCTTCTGCATGAAAGGAAGTTGGCCGTCATAATTCCAGCGGGAATCTCCGACAGTTTCACCCCAGAGGTCATAGTCGGTTCGATCGCCACGGACCCAGTTCCCTAGTTTAGATATGAGTGTAGGTCTTTCGCATCTATTGACCATTCAGTTCACTCACCAGCATTAACAACAGTTCCGCCTCCCAAGGCTGTACCTACGGCCTCCCCCATGGTGCGGTTGTCTAGATTGACTTGGGGAATGGTATCCCAACCCCAGGATAAGTCGCCACCAAACGCAGTTTGGTTGGGCCATATAATGTCGGTACGATTGTTGGCATTTTGCCCAGCTTCAACTACCAGAATCTTCAAGCTCTCGTTGAAGCCGAGGAGACGATTAGATACCACGGAGCCGGCGAGGCCGCCACCCACAACGATGATGTCGTACAGCATAATTGACAAACTGGGGAATGTGGGTTGCTATGACAATGTGATCCGGATAGTAGCAACGATACTTTTGAAACATCAGAAGAGTCACTGTCTTTAGAGACCGGACGATATGCTCATTCATTATATAGAAAGACCTATGGTGATAGGAGGACAAGCTATAAATCTGGCACCATTCTGAGTATGTGGACAATGGCAAACACAGCCTACCTTACCGCGCTTGGCGAGAGTGTGTCAATGCAATGCTTGCTCAAGCAACCGACCTTCCGAACTGAGTCAATCTGCTGCGACGTGGCACGGGCGGAGAAATTCCGCGAGAAATAATAATCTAGACGTTGTGGGCAAGGGAGTTGTCCGTTTTGCAATGTCTGCAACCCTTCGGAGGGGAGCGATCAACGATACTGACGACACTGATCAAGGGGTTCGTATGCGGGAATGATAAGGTGCGATGCATAGCAAATGCAATGCAGATATAATCCATGTCAGCTTGACCGCATGGTAGGCCAGGAACAAGCACGTGAGAAAAGAATCTTGGGTTTCTCGGCGCGCGAATCTTCTACTATAGGCTCAATAGCTAACATGGGTTTGGGATATTACGCCGAGTAATACGAGACTGACATGAGTTGAGGAGGGGTTGAAGAGATCAGATGGTCCATAACAAGGATACTGCGACGGGAGAAGACGCAATGCAATGAAATCAGTATTCTAGAAATCCAAGTTATCAGAACACGCTCGGGTGTCATTCCAGGACTACATTGAGCTAGGGGTCTGACAAATCAGTGCCTGGTCGGTGCCGCGTGGGCAACGCATTTCGCCCTGTAAAAGTATCCGTGGCTCCAAAGCTTCTATTGCTCACAAATTTGGATAGAAGAGCCGATAATCTTGATGTTACAGGCTACAAATATTGTTCATCGGTGGAGAGGCCTAGGCTCTACTGGTGGAAATGCATCATCTTTGCCGCCGTCCACGCTCGAATATCGAGTTCTCTTTCTGTTGGAACATTGCATAGACAAGGTACCTGGTACCTGTTTATATCATATTTCCGAGTATTTGAGCACAATCATGTACGTGTACCACTTGTCCCCGCTACTTTAGACTACGCCTAGGTATGTATTTTTGAAAAGCACATCGAGAACCCCCGTGCAAAATACGGGTCGACGGCAGTCAACATTATCGCTGAACTTAAAGACTGGTCGGTGTTTATTTTACTTGATACCGGTCGCCAATCCAAAGTGTTGTATCCCCAGCAGTCGTGGCATTTCATGTTTCTTGACAACAGCGACAGGCCATTAGGCGGGTTGTCAAGGACCACTTTACAAGATTGGGCTGTCCTTCATTAAACCGTTTCGGCTCTCTACGAGGGTCAAAATGTGACCCTACGACAGATCATGCAATCCATGGAGACCAAAAATGAGTAAGTTTTTACAGCCTATGGGAACCGTAAATCAATTTTGTGACGCTAGAAAAGGAAACTCAGTGGTAAGGAAGGGTGTTTATGCCTTAACGGTTCTTTGATACGCACCAAATCATTCTTCAAGACTCTTCTCGTGGACATTAGCTTGGCAATGAATGTACAGATCTCGCCCGGAGAAATGGGGTCCTCCCAAGAATGACATGTACGACGAGGTCAATGAGATCATCCGCCAGTAAAGCGATCCACCTACCCCTACTACCTATGCATCCGGAGAGATGATGAATGCCAAGGTGAGTTAATGACATGAAATTCCAACTTTGGGGCTGCGGGTCTCGGTGGAGGGTGCCTGGGCCAGGCCTATTGTGACACGGATACTTTACAGCCATGTTCCCCGATAAGAGGGCATTGGCAAATACTTCCCGGAGTTACTGGTACATCCTGCCCTGGCCACATATGCCACGAATGAAATTGAACCCACCACTGAGGGGCGACTTCTTCTGCCAACAGTATCCTGTTCTTGCGAGGGGCCGAGGTATAGGGAATTCAAGGACACTAGATCGGTGTCATTGTCCAGATAGACTACACGGCCTGTAGGGGCTTGTGCATCTGTGCAGTGCAGGATGGGATTCCCATCCTCTCAAACTATAATGTTGACTCGAAGAGTCTCACTCGGTCAGATGTTACGATATTTCCCCACACATTGAAATGTTCGTTCCCTTTGGGTATTACAGCATCTTTGTTTTTCGAAGTCGCCTAAAGAAAGAATATGATTCAACGGCTCAAGACCAAAACTTAAAGCAGAGTTGAAACTGGTCCAAAATACTTGTGAAAACAAAGACTTGTAGCGCCAATTGTCACATGGTCACTAGTCTCACATGGATTCATCGTCGGCACACTTGTTCACTACCTAGATTGGAGTAAAGAATCATGAATAAAGCTATAGAAAACTGCAAATAGTGTATCTCGCATCCAAAAACGCAATTTGACCGACTTGAAATCGATTAAATGGTCTACGGACGTCCCGATGTTTCTACTGTGTAAAAACACCAACCCCCACGTTATAGCAAAGGCGTATCAGCGTACGCGCTTGGACCTGGCCCCCTGTCCCCGGCGATATCAGCCTCTTCGATAATCTGACGGAGTGCCACATTATCCTCCTGGCTGAGATTGATGCTCAGAGACCCTACATTCTCTTCCAGATATTTCAGATTCTTGGTTCCTGGAATAGGAAACATGTCTTTGCCTTGCGCAAGTATCCAAGCCAGGACCAATTGTCCAGTAGAACACCCTTTCTCGTCGGCCATTGCCTTGAATCTCTCCACAATTTCCAGGTTCTTGGAGAAGTTCTCATTTTGGAAACGTGGAAGAGATCTACGAAAATCTGTAGGCTCAAGGTCATCGGCTGACTTGTAACGTCCGGTCAGTATGCCACGACCAAGAGGCGAGTAGCAGAACACAGCTGTGCCAAGCTTACGGGCAGCTTGAAGGAGAAAGGTACCCGAGGGTCCTTTTACTTCAAGGGCCCAGGGATTGTATTCCACTTGAATGGTGGTAATATGGTGAACATCTGATGCACGACGCAAGGTGTCGGAAGAGCACTCGGAAATACCGAAATACTTGAATTTCCCTTCACTACAATAACAGTTTAGATGGATATCTGGAATAAAGTGGTATGAATGATGGGACTACCAGGTAAGCTTACCTCTTCAAGTTCACCATCTCTTTGATGGTGTTCTCAATTGGAGTCTTTCCGTCCACGCGGTGAATGTAGAACAGGTCAATGGAATCAACGCCCAATCTGCTCAAGCTTTGCTCGCAGGCCTTGCGACAGTATTCAGGGCTGCTGTCGACATCGAAAACGAGTCTGCCGTCATTTTCCATTCGTGGAATCAGACCGAACTTGGATGCCAAGAAAATGTCGCTTCTCCTCTCGGGATGAATCCGGAACCAATCCCCGACCATTAATTCATTATTACCGTACACGTCGGCTGTGTCCCAATTGGTGGCACCCAGTTCCCATGCCCGATCCAACACAGCAAGTTTATCCTTGCTGGGGCTAATAATCAAGTTAATAATTTCCATAACGTCAGGTTTCTTCTGCTTACTCTACTTGTCCGTGCGCACCACCAAGGCTCATGAGACCAAAACCGATTGCAGCTATGTTCGGCCCATATTTGCCAACTTTTCGAGATTTTAAATGTGCTGCCATGGTTGCGTAGAGGTTGATGGCGTTGCAAATCAAAATAACAAACGACAAAAAATCTCCTGTGACAACGAGATAAAATACTGCCTCGAAGTCAACTCAGCTAGCTACAAGGGGTTTAAGGTTTGTATATTCCTATCGGCCCTTCAGCTGGCGTATTTTTCTCCAAGCAATATGGGCTGAGGCCGGCATTTGGCCGCGGAAAATTGCCATAATAGAAAGAGCCAGTTCCAAACCCAAACTGAACCGCCGACCTGTGAGACTATATTCATGTCCATGTCGTTCAACACAATCCACAAGGACCGCCACTCTTGGCATAATGCCTGACTCATTGAATCAATGCCTTTACAGATATCCGAGTGTATACGATAGGCACGGTTTAACAGAGAGGCTAGAAAATTACCTCGGTGAATATGATCCTGCTACACCGAGAAAAGAAAAGATGTTCCCTAATCAGAACTATTTCTGCAAGTCCAGCAGAGATACGTTATCAAACAAGGGTCTAGGTTGGCTGGTTCTTGTCGCCACGCTTGGCTAATCATCTCAAACCACATCATGCGTTGGACTGAAAATGAGTACCAAATTGTTGAGTCTACCTGATTTCGATCAAGGTGCTAGTGACAAGTTTCTGGACATCCTCATCGGAGGGGGCTTTGGATGAGAGGGCGCGCACGATACATTCTGCGCTAGTCATGATTGATTTCCAAGCCTCACAAAAAGAAAAAAAGAAAAAAAAACCAATGGTACATGATTGAAGCTTGCAAGCAGCGATATTGTTAGAAAACGAGCTCGTGCAAAGAACTCCTACTGCTTTGCGCATGTGCTTACACCCCAGTATCCCCAGTATCCCCACTTGCTTACTCCCTTACACATGCTAAAGTGGAGCAGAAGAGGGGCCATGAATATGCTAGAATGATTTGAATCATGTTGTGAATATCGACTTGTGTCTCGCTGTGACATATTCGATCTTGTTGGAAATTTATTTTATTCCGTTACGTTGCGCGAAAGGCCCAAGCCTTGCATAGTGGCAATTCAAAGACTACATTGGAGTCTGGCGCAGGTCTGTGTCGCACCGCTCCGGCTGCCTACTAGTTCTCAGCACGATTTCTATGCGATTCTCGGCTGGTGTTAGCCTTTGCCTTTGATTTCATTCGGTCAAACAAGTTGCAGCCAGCTGTAGGTTCGTGTTCCCAAGACTCCATATGCAATCAGAGAGGGTGGAACCCAAGGTGATTTCTATATCGGTGCGCCAGTTTCTTCAGTCGGCAAAGACGACACTACTCTGTACACTACACTAAGCATGATTTGCCAGTGAAATCGCACCGACGCCGGTTGACGTAGCATCTTTCGCTGGGTGATTCCAAGTATTGTGTCACAGGTTCAAGGGAATAGTACGCTAGCATAACATGACTGAGATGGCGGACGCTAACCACGTCTTTGAACGCATATTACACCCAGGGGTTATGACGTTACTTGAATATTGGTACACTATAATACCTCCGGAATAGACAAAGGTATTGGCTTTGAAGCTATGACTGTAATTGAAAATACAACTTTCCGAATTTAGAAAATTCTGCGGTCTTGCACCATGAACATAAGTTTCGCAGAAACTTTTCATGTGATGCATGAGACTTCTCTTCCTGTGGACCATCAAAGCAAAACAGCGAAAATACCAATGAAAGTACCAGAGATGGCCAAAATAGTACGATAAAAGTCTAGTCGTCCCCAATCAACGACTAGCTGCTTCAAGTCTGTGCTTCCCTTGCCGACTTTTATGTCCCCGTCAATTTCGCCAAGTCGCTTGTTGATAGCTTCGTTGAAAGGATATGACGAAATGATCGTGAATGGAACAATGGCTCCGATGACGATAGCTGCCAAGGATAGTAGCTGCTGAAACCGAGGGTTTCCATGCTTAACCGGCTCCCCATACGCCAAGTACGCGAAACTCGCCGCCGAGCCTGTCACAACGGATTTCCCGACAATTCGGCCAATGTCCCAGGCATGTTTCCACTGCTTTGCAATCAACGGCGAAGGGGCTTCAGCTACAGCTGGTGTGAAAACCCAAGCGCCGCTGAAATCATAACCTAGGTATGTTTTATTTTGTTGAACATGTGAGGCCGGCTACTAGGAGGTCGGGGTGGGCGCTTACCCGACATGAACCCGCTCAAGGTCAGGGTCAAAGCTTCCAAGGAAACGGGCATAATGAAAGCAACGTGTAGAAATTCTTCGACTAAGTTAAATGATAGGAAAATTATTGATAGAATAAGATCTTGGACCATCTATTTTTAACCGCTAAAGCTCTGTGCTTTGCCGCGGCATAAAAAATGACTCTGTTGGGACAGGTGTGCAGTCTACGTCAGGTGTGGATATATGACTTTGTCAAGCACTATATGTTCCTCGGCTCAATGTTCGTGCTTAACAACTATGATGCCACGGCCGGAGGATGCTTGCTCGCCCACTGTTCTGGGTCAGCTTATCGCCGAAATCCATCGGGGTTGTCGGAACCCTAAAACTACATGTGTATACGATGTGTAGGCGTAAATAAAATACCCCTGGTCAAGTACCAGATCTGATGGGGCGCCCACTCGACAGCTGCCAAATACGCACAATACGTGCGCAAGAGCTGCACAAGTGGCTCCAAAATACTTACCAGGGACATTTAACTTACCCATCATACCATAGTAGTATAATCGCCTAGTGGGACGATCCACCATTATGGATTCATGTGGATAATTCTCAGTCGTCTCCGGTTTGTTTAATGATGTCCGCGGGTACCGAGGAGATAATGGTGTTGCTGTCCCTGTTTCATGCGGGACTCGGCTTGACATAGTGAAGCATTGAAACATGACTATTTTTGATCAGGTACCTGGACATTCCCGGCAACCATCATTTCGATTCTAGCAGCCACAATGTTCTCTCCCACGGACTCGAAAATCAATGCTACTGCATTGCAAGGCGCAAGGTATAGCCCCTTTAAGCCTTTCGATCCACGTGAAAACGCTGAGTTATTACAAGACTTGAGAGCTTGCATAGCCAGCGTTCGGAATCAAATCTTGGGAAAAAATTGAAGTCTTTCTATTGAGCACTGTTAAGTAAACAGCAAAGCCTTTGTTGCCTCTAGAAACTCCAATGCGATAGTTCCACTTTCGCTGCCGTCTTCTCTTTCTTGTAGAATTCCATATGCCACTTTGTTGCCATCAGTCTTGAAGATTCCCCCCTGGCCTTATCCATAACCTCTTATCTCTCACTTTATTTTCCACCGTCAAGGCAGCGGGCAGTCCAAGAGCATGTGTATCTCTTCCCGATGCTCTAGGATGCTGAGAGAAGGCTACTTTTCGTTGAATCGAGGATTAATTTCAGTGTGTCTGTTAGTGATCGCTTATTCAGAGGCGGTATTTCTCTGTGCTATCTCCAAGTGTGTCGACCTTGTAGGTCATTATTGCACTATGTTGAAACATAGTGAGAGGGTGCGATACACACTGTGTCTGTTCATAGTGGGAGCTTCCCCCGTAGGGAGTATTGCTGCCCAATGCAATCAATCTATGGTTTGGAACAAAGTACACCCACTGAGTTCAGAGACGGTATATTCCACTTCGGAAGTAGTAAAAGTCCTATCGTGAAGAAATCACAGTATCATTCTAAAATAGCTCTCGGTCCTCCGTAACCAATTCGACCCTGAGTTGGCATCTGGTCCAGGTCCCCGGCGACAGTGTACCACAAAGCTCTACAGCGTTAAGATATTTCTTAGGAGATAACGCGCCTCCGAGCAACAACTTTTGGCAAATCTAAAAAAATAATAGTAGGGTTCTCTCAAGGTAACGCTTCTCGAAACCCCGGTCCTCACCTTGTCACGAGCCACGTCGCATGTGTCGAAGACAAGTAAGCAAATGCTACCGCAATGATCTGACGCTGCGCTCAATACTTTTGCACATTATGTGTACATAATAGATCAGGTAGGTGATTTGAACTCACTACATTTCAATGAACTCGCATGAATTCATCATATGGCATTGATGATGGTTTGTTAATAGAGCGCCGCATTCAATTACGAGCGGCGACAGCTGACTTCAATGCTCAGATCTGCACTTCATCCCACTGCTGCCGGGGTTGGTGTAACCTCGCCAAATCTAGTATGGGCCACTGCAATGCACGGTAGGCGCGCTTATTGGACAGAGTCCTGAACAACGCAACTCCTCAGCCGCAGGGCGGGGTCAAATCAATTTTTGAGTCATCAACACTTTCTGTGTTGGCATGGACTATGAGTAGGAGATTTTGGCGACATCGCGACGGAGGGCCGGCCGAAACCGCCGGTTCTGCAGTTGGGGAACGCGTCGGACTCCTCAGCAGATTTCGCAGCAGAAAGTCGGAGAAATTATTGCGACCTCCTTCGGCAGACGTTTCCTCAGCCGCTTCCTCTCCCCGCTCAAGTCATTTGATTCCAGATGGCCACTCTGGGGACGCCACACGCACCCCCAGCCGCAGTATTGAACGGTCACTCTGGGATCGCGCTTACACGGAGCTCGCAAAACAGTGCCCGGAATTAGTGGAGAAGTACGAAAATCTGCTGGTGACGGAATCTTCGTCTATAGGTAGGTATCACCAAAACGCTATCTGCCCATTATACTCAACGTTCCATAGGCTCAATTCCAGATGAATCACTCCACGCGAAAATTGCGGCGCGCGGCGCGGCGCCCGAAGTTGTTGTGCACTTTGACCGTACCCGATTCTACGCAATAGCTGAAGAAGGGTTGGCACAAATGGAAGACAAAAGAACAAAGTTTCGTGTTGGCAGTCTCGAAGTCGTTCCCAAGGAACACATAACTCATGCCGCCGAGCTACTGCTGTGGGCCCAAGACTGGATCGGTGGCGCTCTCAAGGCCTCCCCGGAAGCCTCGATGGCTTGGGCAGGCATCTGCCTCGTTCTTCCCTTGCTCACAAACCCAACCACAGCCGATGAGGCGAACCGCGATGGTTTCGGATATGTCATGGCACGTATGCGATACTATACCGCCCTTGAATCACTGGTCGAAGATCTTGGTCGGAGCTCCAATACAACTGATGCCTTGACGCAGGCCTACGAGTCTATCGTGTTACTCTATCAAGGCATCCTCGATTTCCAATTTCGAAGTGTCCTGCGATTCTACAGGAACCGATTCAAGCGCTATGCTGGAGATATGTTTCTTTCGGATGATTGGAGTAAGAAAAGAGAGGGGATTGAAAAGCTTGAGGCAATCGTGAATGAGAACTTGCGCCAAATCAATGAATTGGTGGCAAGGCAGCACTTGGGGTCTCTAAACCAGACAAGCACTGCGTCTTTGGAAACTTTGCAAGGACTCCTATCTCTTTCCAAGCAGCAGCTGGAAGTCACAGAGCAACACCGTGCTCTCGCGCAAGAGCAGCTTTCGCTCCAACAAGATGGCGTCAAGCGGCACCAATCAGACAAGGAAGAAAAGTGTCATCAGCTCTTTCGTCTCACATCTAGCAAAAAGGATGCAACGTACGAATGGGTAAGTAGTCAAGAATTGTGGTGTCCTTAACTTTTTCATATTTTCCTAGACTATGCTTTAGATTTCCTGGTCCGGCAGTTTTGTCTCGGGCAAAATTTGCCTACCTGGTAACGGTAGCTCGAACACTTGGTGGAAATTTCTGTACAATCATGAGGAAATTGAGAAGCTAACACATTTAACTTATCAGTACAAAGATCGTGTTGAAAACCATGTCGAAGGTACGTGTCAGTGGCTCCTTACGCATGACAATTTCCAAGGATGGATGGCACAAGAGTCTGGGATGCTCTTGGTCTCAGCAGATCCTGGCTGCGGAAAGTCTGTGTTGGCTAAACATTTGATCGATGTCACCTTGCAACCGGCAACCATTTGCTACTTCTTCTTCAAGGATCAAGACCAGAACACCGTACGCCAAGCACTTTGTGCCCTGTTGCACCAGCTCTTCTCCCAAAAACCTTTCTTGATCAAACATGCCATGAACGAGTACTCCAAGAATGGACAAGGACTGGTCAACATCACGGCATCTTTATGGAACATATTCGACAGCGCCGTCCAGGATTCTCAGGCTGGAGCTATCGTCGTTTTTTTGGACGCCTTGGATGAATGTGCTGAAAGTGAATTCGAGGACCTAGTTCGACATCTGAAGCCAAGATACCTTGAGGATCGTTCAAGCAGTCACAAGTTGAAGTTTCTTCTAACAAGCCGCCCGTACAACCAAATTGTATCCGAGTTTAGGGATCTAGTCGACAACATTCCCCGTATTCATATACCCGGAGAAGAGCATTCGGATGCCATAAGCCAAGAGGTCAATCTCGTGATTGAGAATCGAGCCAAGTCGTTGGGGTTGTCGTCCGACCTCACTACCCATCTGACTGGGAAATTACTGGAGATTCCGCACCGTACATATCTCTGGGTACACCTCGTTTTTGATGACCTGGAGAAAGATGGCTTCAAAAAGACCCCCAAGGGTGTGGAGCTCGCCATCGCAAAGCTTCCGAAGAGCGTCAATGAGGCATACAACCAAATTCTTGAGAAGTCAAAGGATCCCTCCACGGCTAAAGCAGCCTTGGCTATCATCTTAGCGGCACAGCGCCCGCTGACACTTTCGGAAATGAATGTCGCTGTGAATATGCAAAGCAACCATCGGAAGTTCTCTGACCTTGATTTAGAGGCCGACGCGGACTTTAAATCAACTTTGAGATCTTTGTGTGGATTGTTTGTGTCAATTCATCATGGAAAGGTGTATTTTCTTCATCAAACCGCTAGAGAATTCCTCCTAGCCGACCCATTGTCCACAGAAGCCCAATCAACGTTGAATTGGCATGGGTCCATTAACATGCGCCAGGCACATACAGTCCTCGCAGGGAAATCCATACATTACCTAGCGCTCTTCAATACCTCTAATTACGACCCTGATATCGAGAATAGAACATTCTTGGACTACTCTGCCGGGAATTGGGGGGTTCACTTCCGCGAAGCCACAATTGCCGACAGTAACCCTCTGGTCTCTATCGCTCTTGCAATTGGTGACCCAGATTCAGTTAGCTATTCTCTCTGGTTCGAGAGATATTGGTCCACGAAAGGTCCGAACTATAAAGCCCCTTCAAATTTCTCGAACATTTTCTTATCAACTTTCTTTGGCCACGTGGCCACTTTGAAAATGTTGATAGTGACTGGGAAAATCGAGATCGATTCGAGAGATCAGCTTTACCATCGGACGCCATTGTCTTACGCCGCTGAAAGAGGCCACGACGCTGTTGTTAAATTGCTGCTAGCAACAGGGAAAGTCGATATCAACTCGAAAGATAGATACGGTAAAACACCGTTGTTTCGCGCCACCCAAGAGGGCCATAAGGCTATTGTTGAACTGCTTCTGGCAACTGAAAAGGTTGAGGTTAACTCGAGAGACAAAAACGGTATAACGCCTTTATCGTGGGCTGCTAGGTACGGCGAAGAAGCTGTCGTCAAATTGCTGCTGGCAACTGAAAAGGTTAAAGTTAACTCGAGAGATAATGACGGTATAACGCCTTTATCGTGGGCTGTTAGGAACCGCAACGAAGCTGTCGTCAAATTGCTGCTAGCAATTGAAAAGGTTGACGTTAACTCGAGAGATAATGACGGTATAACGCCTTTATCGTGGGCTGCTAGGTACGGCGAAGAAGCTGTCGTCAAATTGCTGCTAGCGTCTGAAAAGGTAGTTGTCGATACTCCAGATAAGTATGGTCGGACGCCGGAAGTTCGGGCTGCGGGGAGCGGCTATCAGGATATCGTCAGATTGCTGCGTACAGCGTCGAAGCAACAGTGCTCTCCTGTTCGAACATAGCTATTATACCTAGTCACCTGAGAGCAATCGCGATCTCCTTTCCTGGTACACTTTTAAAAAAGGGAGGAGCTAGCCTAGATACAGAGATCATTAATCCTGAGGATAATACCCTGTACGCACTGCAGGCCGCGTTTCAGTGGACTTTGATCGACATGTTCCCAGCCCTTTCTTGCTGCTAGATCAGCGTGGTTCGGAAGGCTGATATTGAGCCCATCGAAGCTGGCGAGGAGCTCGCGAGTCCCCCAAATACTTGCGAAACCATCAAGAACCCCAGGTTCCTGTCGCGCATCCCACGTAAACTTTTCATGAACCAGCCCATAACCGCCAAAGGCTCTGATAATGTGATTCATCACCGGCAAATTCTTCTCAATCCATGTTTCGCGGTTGTTGAAGTCAAACTTTGTGCTAAATGACTGAAGCCAGTCATATGCCTTTTGGCGATACTCTTCAGCTCGTTCACGTGGAATCGCGCGCTTCAATGCAGCGTAGCCTTTTTCTTGAAGCTCGGCTCGAAAATCGGTATACTGGCCACTACAATGCCAAATATTGAATGTACATAATTAGTTTCTTGAGCCATACATGGAGGATTGATTTCCAGTTGCTTACGTCAACGCATCAGGAACTGGCGGGGGTTGCAAAGACTCAGGTACAGGCACGTTAGCCCCCATTTCGAGCTTTAGGGAGTAAAGTGGCAGAGTTCGTATAAGTTTGGATAAGAGAAAACGTAACGAAAGTACGAAATAGAGAGATGTTTGGATTGGCAGGTGATGTAGCTGTTGTTAGTTGGTTTGCAGGGCGAGAAAACTTGATATGAAGCTTTTAATCCCGTTATTAATCTCATTACTACGTTCTGTGACCTCATTACTCCGAATCTCTAGTGGAGCCTTCGGGTGGGTGATTTACATAGTAGGACGATCGGGAAAAAGAGAAAAGTGCAACTCACCATACCTTAATTCCTCCGGATCTCGGCATGTCAATTATTAGAGCGGTGAATATGCACCAGCTAAATGGGTTGAAGCACAGCGGATCGCAACATAAGCATCATGCTATAATATTTGCCACTATATGGCCGAAATGGACTAACCAGGCCTTTTCACATGTTTTTGTAAACGAGTAGCGCGACGGATCTCGGTCCGCAGCGGGGGTCAGCTTTTTACCCAGAATGAAGTCCGGTCACGGAACTACAACGAGGTTTTTTTTTTCGGTGCAAGTTCAAAAAGGGCGGGCAATATCGAGCAAAGGGTTCCGTCGACAAGGATTTGCTAAAGCATACATAGTAAGAGGTCTTAAAATGTTAGAATGCTAGCATCGGAAAAATGTGAGTTGGCAGTATGTTAGGGCGGGTTTTAGTATAACCAAGCCACTAGCCCAGAGATAGGCAAAAAGATACAAATCATATACCAACCAGGTTATTCACATTATAGAACCCAGGATTTCGGGCTGTTTTCTTAAAAACATAATTTTGAGCTGATGGTTAATTCGATGACGTACCAGAAATTAAAGACTATATGCTGGCGTTAGTGAAAAAGACGCAGTCTTATCGTCGCGAAGGAAAAGGTCTGTGATGCTGCGATATAATTAGTCGACCGGAGCAAAGTGCTTCAGGGATCCCACCGAGAACCCGTGATGCTTGTTATATCAAGGGATAGAAAATGTGTCAATTACGGGGGAGGCAGTAATAAGGTACGAGTTGTAATAGTATGCGATTTCAAGAACCAATCCAGATCACAGGGACACTCCTCATTCTCACTCTGGCAGTCAGTACCTTATTCTCGCGTTCCTCGTTCTTCTCTATTTGCCTGACTCCACAATACTCACTGACTACTTGTTTAAGCCAGGGCTGGAACATGTCGATAATTTTGATGCAGCCAGTCACGAGAGATGTGGGAGGTTCGCTGCCGCTGATGTTTTCTAGTATTAAGAACTTCGACAAACACAACCAGTCCCTGAAGAAGAGTGAATGACTGCTGATTCCCCTTAAATATCGACTATACGGTGATAACGTGTCAATATACTCTTTAAATACATAGAAGAAGAGTCCGAATGTGTTTATTCATTAGGCTTTTTGCCGAAGAGGCTGGGCGCAGATATCTTGCATCGAGATCCAAATTTGTTCTCAGCTATATGGATGTTATACTCTAGCATTCCTGTGACGGAGATTTCCCGCAAGATCCTTACGATTCGTTCAGGCTATAAACCCTCAGACTAGGTCTACTCTAGCTCGTCTAGCAGTTCATTTACAATACGAATAGAAATAAGGGCCGTGCATGATCTAGACGGCATTTCAACCGCATGGCAGAAGAAATGAGGAGCCAGAATTTGAAATTGTTAGTCATTTTGTGTAGATATAGGATACGCTACCTCTATGGCTCGCTGGTCAACCCTTACATGTCCAGATGCACTATCTATGCTTTAATACTTTTAATACCTCTGTGGAAATGCAATATGCTTCCTAAGGTGCCGTCACCGATATGGTAACACGCGTGTGTTACGCGTCGTTCTTGGCTTTCTTTCTCTTCTTATCCTTTATTCAGTCTTGTAGGGTTTCCACTAGTATACCTTCTTCACATAGAGAAACCCAGCTTCTTGCTAGCCATGTCACCACGCCTAAGGCGCTGGGGCCCCTCGTTAATAACACGCAGACCGTTAGGAACTCAGGTAGGCAGAAGGAGTACTCTACAAAATTGTAGTCGACTTGATTGAGGCTGATGACGAGTATGCGAACCTGGACTTCGTAGAGTGCTCTCGAAAGAGTGGCGAATCTCTTGTTTCCGTCGGTTGTTTACGATCGGAGCCAGTGACTGCGATGGAGAAGATAGGTATGGGCCTTGTGACATCAGTGATCCTCTGATGGACTAGCTCCGTGGTGATGGCCATGCTGAGCCACGCTCTCTGTTTGTCGCAGGCGATGAATACACGATTTTCATGCGACGAGAATGATGGCTGCGCTGAAACAATGGCTTGGGGCAAGGATGTTAGTGGATTAGGAGGGGGAGGGTGGTTGTATAGATTTTGGGTGCGGACGGGCCAAAGTAATTGGAAATGCAAAATCAGCGGTAATCTCAAGTCGCAGCTAGACTCGGAATATGCTAAGGTTTTACGCAGATCAAATCAACGAGGCAAGAATAATTAAACAAATTCCGGATTTAGAAAACGGGACCGAAGAGAGTTAAAGTCATGCTAACTGCAAGTTAAGTCTGAACTCTAGATCTACCTATGCAACCAACAGCCTCATAGAGGCCCGTACACGAATTAACGGGCCCCAGCCACTTGTGGCGCATTAGGCGATGACTTACTATCCCCACTTACGATAACAATCTTCAGTCATTTATTTCATTTCAATTGAATTGCCGTTGTACTCCATAGCTCAGTGGCGCAGACCATAAAATACGCTCCAACGGCTAAATCTGTAGAGATTATTTAATTCGATCACTGAAAAAATCTAGCCGCCAGCTAACGGATCACGGCCATATTGCAAGCACCCCCAGTATGGACGGATCACGGCCCGGTGCTGGTTAATCAGATGACCCAACTGGTGGGGTTTTCCAGTGAGTCTGAATTGTAACACAGGTAATCTTCCCCGCTCGCCTGAACTTTTCTGATCTACATATATCTTAGCATATTAATCTGCTGTGAGATTACCTACAAGAAAGTCGCTTTTAGCGAACGGTTCTGTATACAGCCTGCATTTAAATCATAAGCCCAGCAGACAGCACATCAATCTATCAGTCCTACATTTGTTTATCTTTACAATTCTAGTCTATTGCAACACAACCGTATTAAGCGACCAACATGGAGCCGGTACCTAACAGCCATGGCAGTCCAATCATGGTCGCTGAAGACCACTTCTTACTTGGCACGTTCGGCACCAACACAGATGGAGGTCAGTCTCTGACTAGCATCCCAGAGCGATGGGAAAATTCCTTTGAGAACAACCTGAAGCTTGCCAAGTTGCTAGATGACGCCGGCATTGATTTCATGCTCCCTATTGCTCGCTGGATAGGTTTTGGACCTACCAACTGTCACGGTAACGTGCTTGAGACTATGACTTGGGCTGCCGGCCTATTGGCCCAGACCAAGAGGCTCAATGTCATCGCCACCATTCACACAGCGGCCTATAACCCGGTAGTTGCAGCCAAGCAAATAGCCACCATAGACCAGATCAGCCACAGCCGCATTGGCCTCAACATCGTGGCCGGCTGGAACCGACCTGAGTACGAAGCTCTCGGCCTCGAGCTGCCGGCTAGCCACGAGGAGCGCTATGCTTATGCACAAGAGTGGTATGATATTGTCGGCAAACTCTGGACCCTGCCTGGCGCATTCGACCACGATGGCACATTTTGGAAGCTGAAGAATATCTCGGCACTTCCAAAGCCAATGCGCCAGCCGTTGATCATCAATGCTGCAGGCTCCGGTGAAGGACGCAATTTCGCCGTCCGCAATGCCCACTTTCTCTTCACGCCTACCATAGAGCTCGAGAAGTCCAAAAAGGAGATTGCCGATCTGAAGGCTCTGGCCCAGCAAGCCGGAACTGAAGTCCGTGTCCTCACCATGGCTCATGTGGTTTGCCGTCCCACTGAGCAGGAAGCGCAGGACTACGTCACTTACTACGGAAGAGAGAACGTGGATTGGCAGGCTGTCGATGCATGGATAGATCTCCAGCTGGCGCACGCCAAATCGTTCCCGGACGGCGTCCTAAAGTCCATACGCGACAGGGTGGCCGCATTTCACGGCGGCTATCCGCTCGTGGGAACGCCGCGACAAGTGGCAGATGGCTTCCTGGCGTTGCACGAAGCAGGCTTTAGCGGTTGTACTTTGGCCTTTATGGACTATATAAAGGAGTTTCCTTATTTCAGAGACAACGTGCTTCCACTCTTGGAGGAAGCGGGGATCCGTAGGAAGGCATCTGGTCTAGTTTGACTTGGCAAATATTGTCACCAATATAGTTCATAAAGATCTACTTTCCGCCTATTAACGGAAGAGTAGAAAGAATTCCAGCATTCCTGATTTCGTCCTAGCCATGTGTAGCTCCAAATTTCACGGGATAGCGACCATGCATCTCTGACACGGCAAAGCATGATTGCAGGAAAGTTTCTGGCGGCGACACGGGTCGCAGGCTCGAAGTCGACCGTTCGGAAGTCGTTGAATGCGTGGGACTTCATCGTTCATACTTGGTGCAGACAACAAGAGACAGGAATAAGTACGAAGAGATGCTAGCCTCGAGCCAAGTTGAGTGGCAGTTGCAATCAAGCCTTGGATGAAGGCAAGGAGAAAAGAAACCAAGGGTGTAATTAATACAATGAAACTAAGTACGTTAGTCCCTTCGGCTCGGAGTCGGCGTCAAAGCAGTTATGATTGGCTCACGTCCACTTTGCCCCATCCGCAATAAGACTGGCGACCCCGAAGCCGAACTCAGCTTATAATCTCTCCACGGAATTGGTTATAGTATGGGTCGGAAAACAAGTATCTTTTGCAACTATTTGACAACGTAAGTCGGTACATTAAAAACGCGGAGCATATAACCTTTTTCTTCTTATTTCCTTCGTTCGTTGCAAGCCTTGTTGCAACCTTCGTTTGGTATCATTGAAGTCTAGATCGATTTTCTAGTTTCTCCATCTCTATCCATGGTTCTTGTCCAATCGCAACAAGTACACCAGCATGTCGGCATCTTTTGATAATGTGTTCAACGGGAAATACCCGGCCAAGTCCTACGCCAAGCGTGTGGTCGAGTATATTCGGACCGGGATACCTGCTGCGACCGGCATTATATACCTAGAAGGACAATATGAGCAGTTCTACGAAGACGTAGACGAGCTCATTTTTTTCCGGCAACGGAGAGCCTTTACGTACTTGACTGGCATTGCCGATCGTGCTGGATGCCACTTGATATACGACATTGCTTCCGATACAATGACGGTTTTTGTTCCGCAAGAAGATGTCGAACAAATCCTGTGGTCAGGGAAATCTCCAAGCTCAGAACAGGTACTCAAGCAATATGATGTCGATCATGTTCTACCTGATACGGAGCTTGGCTCAGCACTCGCAGAAATCGGTCGGCAGCAGCGAGGAACTCACGCTGCTGTATTTGCAATCGCTGGACGTTTCCGACAAAAGTTCCACGACTTTGAGAACAGGAATTTCGACATCTTGGGTGAAGCTATCGAGGAGTGTCGAATTGTCAAGGATGACTTTGAGATTGCCTTGATCAAGAAAGCAAACGAAATTAGTTGCGCTGCACATAGAGCTGTTCTCAAGCAAGTCAAAAACTTCAAAAATGAAGCCGAGATTGACAGCTTATTCACGGCTGAGTGTATGAGGAGAGGTACCAAGAAGCAGGCATACCCGAGCATCGTCGCTAGTGGAATTAATGCCGCCTCAATGCATTATGAAAGCAACAATCAAGATCTCATCATCGACAACAAAGCCAAAGACCTAGTATTGGTAGATGCTGGGTGCGAATGGGATTGCTATGGATCTGACATCGTAAGTGAGCCAAGTCCTCAAGTTTCATCTGTTGTTTGTCTGGAAGCTGAAATTGTTATAAGACACGCACTTTTCCATTATCTGGAAGATTTTCCAAGAATTCCCGTCGCATCTACGACATCGTACTTCAAATGCAACTTAGTTGTATTGCAGCCTTGAAGGAGGGTGTCGAATGGGAGCAAATCCATACCTTGGCACATACTGTTGCCATAGACGGTCTTTTATCAATCGGTATTCTAAGAGGCAATCCGAAAAAGATTTTTGCGGCAAGGACCAGCACTGCTTTTATGCCATATGGAGTAAGCCACTTTCTCGGCATGGATACACACGATGTTGGTGGCAAGCCCGTCAAGGACGAAACGGATCTGCTATTCAAATACCTTAGGGTACGCAGAAGTCTTCCTGCTGGAAGCGTGGTCACAGTTGAGCCTGGGGTAAGATACCTCGCGATGAAATACAGTCAAGAATGGCGTTTTCTAATTATTCCGCTTTACTACAGCCTCACTTTTCGCCACATGTCATCCGACCTTACCTTGAAAGTCCTCAGCACAACGAGTTCATAAACGAGGCCATATTGGATGAATGTTGGGCTGTTGGAGGAATATGATTAGTCTTCTTGTCCTGGCTCAATACTCACGTGAAAACTGACATATGGGAATAGCATTGAAGACGACTTGTTGATCACGGAAGAGGGAAGTATCAACCTGACAGATCTTATAAAAGAGCCAGAAGCACTCGAGAGGATCATCATTGGTGCATGAACGACGAAGAATAATTTATGCTAAGAGGTATGTTCAATATTCCATTGATTCACCAGCAAGTCTACCCTAAAGGGACGGGGGAAGGCTCCCACTATATACAGCCGCAGTGTGGGTCGCACCCAGCCACCTTATTTCAACAGTTGGTGACCAAGGTTTCAACCATCAGTGAGCTTCTGATACTCAACCTTTCCGGATATGAACCCCCTCGACCTCATCATTGTTATTCCATGTGTGAAGGAGCTATTATTTGGGTATTATGGTGTCTATCCGAGATAATTCTAGTCATAAGTCAAGGAAATGAGTGCAGAGATGTGTCCTGTGCAAAGAACTGACAGGAGAGCCAGACAGGCTCCTATGGAGAAACTCTGACGATCACCTTGCCCTTCACGCGTCCCGTGTTGAGCCTCTCAAAAGCTTCCCGCACTTGGCTGAAGTCAAAAGTGCTGTCGATGATGATCTTATCTTTAGGAAGATCGAGAGCTTCCTTGAGGTAGCTGTCCTTGTACACGAGGTTGATGCAAGTGTATGAAGAGCCAAATCCTATCCTGCCCATCACAGCGCGGCCAAACATCTGAGGATTGAACATGTATGTATATCGTCCACCCATGCCCAGCCTATCGGTAGACGTCTTGTCGCCGACAACGGTGACATATCTCTTGGCGAGCTGAACGCAGTCCGGTCCTCCGACACAATCAATGATGGCATCGGGTCCAAATTCCTTGATCTTTTCCGGCACACTCGTCGTTGTGTAGTCAATGATCTCATCCGCTCCCATACTGCGAGCAAAATCTGCCTTTGCGCCTGAGCAAGACGCAATCACCTTCCACCCGCGCTGCTTGGCAATATAGCTGACGTACATGCCACAGCTAGAGCTGCCACCTAGAACGGCAAGCTTTTTGTTCTTCATCCATGGTCCAACTGCGTCAATAGTCGTCTGCGCAGTGAGCCATACCAGGGGGACCGCGGCAGCCTCCTCAAAAGACCAGTCAATAGGTTTGTGGAGCACAATGGATTTCCCGGGGCTGTTGGTGTCTACCGTGATGGTCTCGGTGAGACTGCCGGAAGGGAAGAAGTAAACGATGCCAAACACGGCGTCTCCGGGCTTGAATCCAGACTTTGCGCCGGCTTGCTCCACGACGCCCGAAAAGTCCTCGCCCACGCCCTTGTTGGCGGGGAGAACAAAATTTGGGAGGGATCCCAAGAGGGGGAAACCCATTAATTGAGCATCGATGGGATTGACTGATGCGGCCTTGACTTTGACGCGCACCTGTGTTGGTTTGAGCGGTGATGTGTCTTCAGGCAGATCAGACTCTTGAAGTGCCTGAGGGTAACCCCCATGTGTGAATGTCCAGCCCTTCATTTCGCTGAGCTGAGGAAGATGATATTATTGAACAAGTGTCAAGGATTGAGCTGATGTAGAGATCGGGATGCAAGTAAAGCCAAAAAAGACACGGCCAGGTGAGTACCCAGTGTTTTTATTCTCAGAAGCGCGTGATGTATGCAACTACATCAGCTGAGATCTGCCAGCGTGTGTAAGCATGATTATCTAAGTCGAGCAACCCTGGAAACCCTGGAAATCCTTGAACTTTTGGCGCCCTGACTAATGCACGATGTCCCGTTCATCCCTTGTGGCGTTCGGCGGGAAGATTGATACCCAGCCAGCCGGCGCAACTCGACCCCGCGCCGCCCCCATGTTCAGCTCTGTCTTAAGTTGCTCGGGTGCCGAGCCCCGAGTAATGGAATGTGTATGATGCTGCACAATTTAACCGTGGATTTTCCGAACCTTGCTTGGCGGAGAATATCATATTTATTCCCTGCCACCTCTGCATCGACTGTGTGCACATTGAATTTATGAGCGAGTTGACCACCATGTATCTTGCTGTTGGCATCTGAATAGGATCTGAATTTAGTTGGTAGATGGAAATCCCTACTTAAAAATGATATCTGAACTTAAATATAACCATCGATTCTGAAAAAGCCATGAAACACTCCTACAAGATCCATTTTAACAACATGGAGTCTTGTTCTCCTTTATGGTGCAGTAGAGTGATTCAGTAACCAACAGTGAATATGAACGAGGCATAATAGAAGTAAATAAGATAACTGTAGCATAACAGGTATAAATAGCTCACGTAATGGGTGGTAGATCTTGTCGGGAGCTGATATTCCTCATGCAGCAATCGGCCTACACCTACCCTGGTTGTTTGATGTCACTGTAACAGTCTATTTACCGACAGTAATCTTGCATATATCTACCTGCATCATGTATGCAAGATCCTGGGTCGTGATCCGCATTACATCGTAGTCTTGGCATTATCAGACCTGGCATATAAGCAGATGGTTCAGACTAGCGAAGCAAACTTTTGTATCACATTTTTTACTGAAACAAGGAATTCTAACACGCGTGTTGTATTGATACTCTAAGGACTCTATAAGGAATAAGGACTCTAAAGGGAAATAAAAGTAAGGGGTAGATCTAGCCAAGAAAAGACACAAAATCGAAAGAAATGATTGTATGTGGAAAGAAGCATGGCCAATAGCCGTTTCCGGTGTTGAAATTAGTCATCAATAGCTTGATGATCTAGATTTAGTCCAGACCCTCAATTTCCAACTCCTCCAAGGTCTGATAGGTAGAAGGGAGGAAGTCGAAAGCGAAGGCATCCTGAAGGTGGTAGACCATGTCGGCCTCAAAGGCCAAGTGGTAAGGGTCCTCGAACAAGTAGTAGTTACGGTCATCAAGCGAGGAGAATGTGTTTGTCCAAGCGTGAGTGAAGCCGCCCTGTAAGTGGTGCAACCATGTTAGTCAACCTTTGCGTATATTCAATCTCTTGGAATAACAACTCACGTTGCGGTCAGTCGGGCTGTTGTTTGTTCCTCCAGAGACGGTCAAAATGTAGGTAGAACCGTCGGGCTTCTTGCAGTTGTCCTTGAGTGACAGGAAACGAGTGATGACCTGTTGAGTAGGACCCGTCAACAATAATCCAAAAAGCATAGGCGGCAGTGAGCGTTCTTACATCGTCAATATCAGACTGAGTCTGGTTGGCAAGGAACTCGAATGAGACAAAGTGCGTGACCTGAGTATCAGTCTGTCTGATGGCCGGAGCAGCATTGGTAGGAGCGGCAGTGGCGGTGGAAGCCATGAGAGCGCCGATGGCGGTGAAAAGGAGCTGCTTGAACTGCATGGTGAATAGTTTAAGATAGATGGTTTGAGTAAAGAATTTAGAAGTTTGTTTGAATCTAAAGAGCTAGGATGAGCGAGTGGCAGAAATAAAAATCCAAGTCAAGTGTATAGAGAGTGGAAGAAGTAATAGAAGCGTTGGAATGAAGTGATGCTGATGATGAGCAGAAAGAAGGACTATAATCATGGGAGAATGGCACATATAAATACTCAAAAGAAGACATAGCAAGTGGTTCACATCCACTACTCATCACCTCATCGTGAACATGGACATGTGGTCGTTCTCTTTGTCAAGCATAGCCACCGTCGGCACCGGTTCCTCAAGATGAATTCGTAATAACGAAGCTGGCCGCCATACAGAGGATTCCAATCCCTCCCAAAGCGGCGACACAGCGGCGTGATAGCACTGGGATGCATTTGCCTCGCGTAGCTGAAAGATAAGGCTAAGGATCGCCAGGCACCACCATATTCGATGAGGTCAGCGTATCCTAGCCCAGCACAGCTCTACTATTGAAAATCGTCTTCAGCCACGTGGAGCAGGGGGGTATTTCCAAGGCCATGGAACCGAGTCCTATTGGTAGTATCGTCCCTGCATGAGACCTGTCACGGTGGATCGAGGGATCCATGAGGCTGGCGCAGGGCTGACCCCTCTCAGGGAGTCATATTATGTCAGTCATGTATTTTTCGTGGGCATTGCGGCCGAAAATGCGAGCACTCGTAACTTTCAAGAACAGGCAAATAGGAATGGTTGATTTGTTTGGTGGCATATTCACATTGTATTCACATTGAAATCATGTAGAGCTAGGAACATGTAGCCATTTCGAGCGCATAGACAATTTTATTCAAGCATGACGAAGGAATCAACAAGACATTTCCGCATTAATTTCAGCATCCTTTTGAACCTGAGTGTTTCTTTGGAAATAACGCTGGTGTTGCGTAAGAGGGCTTAAGGTAGAGCCAAGTCCAAGTAACGCCTGGGGCAGGGCTGTGAGCTGCCTAATGCAGGAAAAAAACAATGTTGCCCGTCGGAGTGAAATGGAATAAGTATTAGAAGGATCATATTTCGGTCGGGGCGATGATTAGAAATATTGACCGAAGACTAAAGCTTTTGTCAAGACTAATAATAGTCCCTTGTCAAGGTCGGTCCGGTTGCTTGGAGCCTCCGGAACGAGCAAAACGGGCAAACTCGGTGCTCGCTCGCCGAGCCCGGGCCCCACCATGAGCACCCTGCGATTAAAACATCGACTCACTCGTAATCCCTTTCCAGCACATGACAAGCTGATAATTAATAGTCGAGACAGGGCTATTGAGGAGGATTCGAACCGGACAAATTCAGCTAGTAGTCTGTCAACCCTGGCCATAGACTCACTCACCACTGTCAGCCCACCCCCGACGACAGCCAACGCGACAATGGCCACACCCACTGTCGAATCAACACCACCACCACCAACGACAACACAGCATGTCGGGACCGACAATAGTGTTAGCGATGGCACCGAAACGGCAAAGAACGACGATGGACCGGTATATCCTCATGGAATCAAGCTTGCCCTCATCATGGGCTCTTCATACCTGAGCATGTTTTTGGTTGCCCTTGTAAGGACTCCCGTTATTTGCCTGTCTGTTCTGGTGGCAGCAACAAACACCTACCGCAAGATGCCTCTGAGTGCCATCCGCAAGACTGACGCATTGCGCTTTTTAATCGCAGGACCGACTCATTGTCACAACCGCAATTCCAAAGATCACAGATGACTTCAAGTCGGTGACAAATGTCGGTTGGTATGGCTCCGCCTACCTTTTGACCAACTGCGCATTCCAGCTGTTCTTCGGCAAGCTCTACTCGCTCTACAGCGTCAAGGTCGTTTTTCTCGTCAGCATTCTGCTGTTCGAGATTGGATCTGCCCTTTGCGGCGCTGCGCCAAATTCGATTGCCTTCATCGTGGGACGTGCCATCGCGGGCTCGGGTAGTGCGGGTATTTTCTCGGGTTCGATATCTATCCTGGTATACTCGGTTCCGCTTCACCGTCGGCCATTCTACCAAGGTCTTTTCGGCGCTGTGTTCGGACTTGCGAATGTGATTTCCCCTCTGTTGGGCGGCGCTTTCACTGACAGTGCTGCAACCTGGAGGTGGTGTTGTACGTCTCCCATTCAATTGCCTGCTATCAGTGACCGTGCTAACTGAAATTGCGTGCAGTCTACATCAACCTACCACTTGGAGCGTTCTCGATACTCTGCATCTACTTCCTATTCCACGTCGGAGAGCAAAAGACAATGGATCTTTCAACCAAGCAGAAGCTCACCAAGCTTGATAGTCCTGGTGTTGTTACCCTGCTCGGTGGCATAATCAGCTTGCTACTTGCTCTCGAATGGGGAGGCACGCAGTATGCCTGGAACAATGGCCGCATCATTGCACTACTCGTGGTGGCCATCATCCTGTTGATTTGCTTCGCAATCATCCAGGTCAAGTGGCCAGAGTCCGCCACTGTCGCACCTCGTGTTTTCACGCAGCGCAGTATTTTGACGGCATCCCTTTCCATGTTCACCACCGGTGCTGTCATGATGACCACTTTCTACTACCTCCCCATCTGGTTCCAAGCTATCCAAGGAGCCAGCGCCGTGCAGTCCGGTATCCGACTTCTCCCGTTGGTGATTGCGCAGGCCATTGGCTCGCTTGCAGGCGGTGTTGCAATCCAGAAGCTCGGATACTACACGCCTGTCATGTTGCTCAGCATCGTGTTGATGACGGTTGGGTCTGGTCTCCTCACGACACTTCAACCCGACACATCAGAGGGCAAATGGATTGGCTACCAGATCCCATTCGGTGCCGGGCTGGGAATAACCATGCAAGCCCCTCTCCTTGCTGCGCAAACCGTGCTAGGAAAGGCCGACGTCCCAATTGGGACTTCACTCATGTTTTTCACACAACTGCTGGGCGGTTCCATCTTTGTGAGTATTGGACAGAATCTGTTCAACAACTACTTTGTCAAGTACCTTCAGGGTGTACCTGGCATCGACAGTGGCACGATCCTAAAGCAGGGAGCGACGTCCATTACAAACATATCCGAGCCAGCCAAGGATATTGTCGTGTCGGCCTACAATGACGCTTTGCGAAAAGTCTTCATTACCGGCTTGGTCATGTCGGCTCTGACATTCCTAGCTGCTGCTGGGTTGGAGTGGAAGAGTGTCAAGAAGCCGGCTCCCAAGACAGATGTCGAAGCCAAATCTGCAGAGACAGTACAGAATGGGACTGGGACAATCACTTCTGAGAAAGGCAACGACGCTTGATGAGTTATGATTTTTTCTTTTAAAAAGAAAATCGAGATTGCGCCGCTTCGGTGAATATGGCATCCGAGGTCATAGACTGGCATAGAAAAGGACTACTGTTGGGGAAACTTGGCGTTACATAAGGGCTCAATAATGGCCTTTTTTCTACCATACTAGAGCATCAATCAGATATTTGAGTCCATTTAATAGCGACAACCTTGGTCACAGAAATGATCAGACACATAATAAAAGCCGTCCGTGATTAATAATTTCCAATTACTAGTTCATGCCCAAAGATCCAATAGTCACATGTCATACCCTCACCAAGATCACCTTTTCGTGCAGGAATGAAAATCGTGTCAATACCAATTCGCAATACTGCACCGACCACATGTAGATTATCTTTTTCTTTTTCTAGAATTTAAATTGAGTTGCAACTTCTAGCTATTTTCGAAGACCAAGACCCACCATGCACCATACCTTTATCTGAATCTTATGACATGGCTTGATTGAGCCATACTATGCACACCTATTTATCTGACAAGCACATTTCCCTCCAGTGCCCACTTGACACGAGCAACCTTTTGATAGCCAACCATCCACAAGTCAGTATGCTCCTGGCCAGCCCACACAATGTTGAGCACAGTAAAATCAGTCTGTATCCTAAGCACAGGAATGCCAGCGGGATCCAAGACATCGACACCGGACCCAGTAGCGACCACCACATAGCCGTTGCGCGCCACCTTTATGCCGTCGGGCACGCGGTCCTGAGCCAGGAAAATAGCCCGGCGGTTGACGATGCCCGTGCCCGAGGGCAGCACGTCGGCCGCGTAGACGGTGCGGCGCAGGCGCGACACGTAGCGCAGCGTGCGGTCCTCGTTGGTGATGGTGTCGGCGCCGCTGTCCGTCATGTACACGGTCTTGCCGTCGGGCGAAAATGCAATGCCGTTGGGCTGCTCGAGCTCGTCCGTCACGAGCTGCACGAGGCCCGTCGACGGGACGTAGCGGTAGACGGCAGGCTCCAGCTGCAGAGTGTTGTTTTGGTGGAGTTCTTCCAGGGCATAGCTGTACCCTGCAATTTTTCAATCAGTTATATGCTTGATTTTTCATAGTTTGCATGTGGTGGACCTACAGTTATCGGTGAACCAGATATCACCGTTGGGCGCAACTGCTAGATCATCGCACGTACCAAAGTTGTAGCCAAAATAGTTGTTCGCGATTGGCCAAACTTTGTTACTGGTTGCATTGTATGCATAGAGACCACCCACGTAGTCTCCAGTGCTTGTCGCAGAACCGCAATAATAGATCAGTCCCTTGTGGTAGGCAGCCCCAATACCAAATAGCGGAGGATCAGTGGTAATGTTACTCAAGGTTGGCGGATCTTGGTTCAGATCAATCTTGAGTACAGTTGGCGGCGGTCTGAGAGGCGAGAAGAGCAGAATGTTCAGGTCGGGCTCCCAGACGACACCTTCATGAGGAATGTTGCCGACCTCGAAAAAGTCTTCCACACTGGGGTTCGGACCCAAGATGTCTAAACTTTGCTCTAGATCCCAGATGAGAAAGCTGGCCCCAGAAATGAGCTCAAAAGTTGAATCATTCGGAACATTCGTTGAGCCATATGTATCTGTGTGGCCTGGTGTAGACGCAATTGGTCTTTCAAATCCCTCTGGTAGAACTGCGCCATAATTCTGGATGCACAGAATGGAAGGGAATCGATTTGCATATGCAGTTTCGCAAGGTTGTGCAATGGAAGTGGAAAAGCCACGACTTCCAAGACCAGCCACTGCGCCAAGGCCGGCGAGGACAGACTGCATGATGACGATATTGACACTGGCAGTATGAATTCAGAAACAATATAGTGAAATAATGAATTCGCAATCCCAAGAACGCTCTGATGGTGTCTTGAGAGAAGTCAATTCAGAGCCGCAACGATTCGATCAACCAGCAAATGGATCTTTCCATTGCCTACGACAGTTTCATGGCAAGAAAATATTGAGCCAGTAACCCGCTAACTCAACTTACAGATACTCTGTCGGGCCGGCGTCGGTCGAGGTCACGGGTATAGGCGAGCGGTGCATAGAACACCACAGCCAGCTCGGGCTTCGGCACGCGTTTGGAGCAGCCGCATCCCCGCTCCCGTCTACGGTTCCCACACGCTTCCCGAAAGGGCTTCCGCCATCCCGGTTCAAGAGACCGACTTGTGAATAGTGAGAACCAAACCGGCACGTCGGACTTGGTCTGCATGATTTGACGCCAAATAGAATCGTAAGTTGCGCCTCAAGTCGAATATGGAGTCAGACAATTGGATTTGCTTTATAATTATCGCATAAGTAGCCGTGCACGTCATTCCACTGTGTATATTTCATATCAGGCGTACATTTTATTGCACCCATCTATATTGACTCACGTACTTGAAAATGGGTTCTCTTGATATTCCTAAGTCGTCGTACCCTCCGTTCGCGGATACCGGCTCGCTGAAGGGCTTCAAGCAAGTCGCTATCACGCCGATCCTAGGTACTGAATTCAAGGATGTCGACATTACTGAATGGCTGAGAGCCCCCAACTCAGATGACCTCCTGCGGGATCTCGCTCTTCTTAGTGCGTTTCCACGAGCCCAATCTTAACTTTGAGGAAAACATCACTGACTTACTTCTTACTTTTATCATCGTGCAGTCGGCCAACGTGGTGTCGTCTTCTTCCGCAATCAGCACAAGGTCAACGATGACCTGCAGAAGGAGTTCTGTCGCCGGGTCAATGAGCTGTCGGGGGCGCCCAAGGAGAATGGCTTCTACCGCCACTCTCTGCTCGCCATGCATGGCGAAGACCCCGAGATGGGCAAAGTCGACCCTGACCGTCTCAAGGCTATGCACGGAATTGATACCAAGGGCTTGCCCAGACAGACACATATCAAGGAGTGGCACACGGACTCGAGCTTTGAGCCGGCGCCGCCTACTTACACTGTGCTGCGCATGACAATTTTGCCCGAGACGGGCGGTGGTATGCACGCCCAATCTCTAGATTCGAGGGAGTACACTAACAAACATTATCAGACACCTTGTGGGCCTCTGGCTATGAGATTTACGATCGTCTCACCGAGCCGTACAAGAAGTTTTTCGACTCCCTGACGGCAACCCACTACAACGATGGCCTCTACAAGTACGGCAAGGCCAACCCCGATAAAATGTTCACAGGCCCTCGCGGTGCCGCCCAGAACACGGGTCTAGACTTCAAGAGCCACCATCCATTGGTGAGGACTCACCCACTCACCGGGTGGAAGAGCGTCTTTGGCTGGGGCGCCAACTGCCTCGGCATCGACGACGTTACCGACGACGAGTCCAAGCAGCTCACCGAGAAGATCACGCGTCTGATCCTGGACAACCAGGATATACAGGTGCGGTTCCGCTGGGAGAACACTGGCGATCTGGGTAAGTATCTCTCTTTCGGGCTAAATTATTCACATCACTAATAATGTTGAAGCCATTTGGGACAACCGATGCACCTTTCACGCAGCGACAAGCGACCATTTCGGGGTTGGCCCCCGTCAAGGCTGGCGATGCATGACCATGGGAGAGGCGCCGTTCTTGGACCCCAACAGCAAGAGTCGTAATGAGGCCACTGGTGGTTGGCCATATGCTCTGAAATGATGCACGAGGTCATAGTTTTGAATAGCGAGTAGATTCTCTGTTTTTTAGTCTGACTAGCTAGACTTGCTTATACGATAAATACATGACTTTGCAATCAAACACCCTGAAACTTCCAAGAATGCAGCCATTTTTCATATTCTCGTGAAGAAGTAAAAGAAATAGGGCCGCAGCCCGCAGCGTGGAAGTATATAATCGGTCCCAACCTGACCAACGTTCCTCTCGTAGTTGTTTTGATGCGCCACCGTAATTTACACCTAGTTTCGCGTATTATAGTGGTTGCTTTTGCTGCTGCTCACCGATCCATGCGCTGAAAGTCACCAAAAGTGGCCCCCGTATTGGAATGCTTAGCGGGCTTAGCGGGCAAAGTCCCTGCCGACCAGGGGCTGGGTAAGCTCACTAGCAGTTCGCTCCTCGGCCCCGAGCCGCGAGGCAGACATCTGACAGTGGAGTTGTGGCTAGGCCTGTGCCGAGACCCCAAAGAATTATTGTGTGTTCCATACTCGTTGATTGGATTATCAAGTGTAGCAAAAAAGATATCTGTTTTGTTATTCCGGATGCACACTGATCTACAGCGGAACAAATACGAGATTATCTCCACGAAAATGCACTTCGTCCTTTAAACCAACTGTGAGGGAGCGTTGACCCTGTCATCTTTGCCAGTGCTAAAATACGACCAATCACAAGGTCTGACATCAAATCTATATTGCATATCGACTCTCACTTGATCATGGCGCGTGGGATTGTACCGACTGAAACTACCAGACTTATCGGCTCAGAGTCGGAAGATGACGACACATGTACCAGGGTGCCCGGAGAGCATGCGGTATACAGCCCCCAATCATCCATTACAACTATTTGCATCAGTATAGAGGCTAATGACAATGCACTTGGACAGCTAGAATGGAGCTCGCCAACCGATGCAGAGAATCCCAAGAACTGGACATCATCACAAAAATGGACCTGTGCCATGATTGTGTCATTCTACTGCCTGATATCGCCAACTGCGGCAGCCATGGTAGTCGCCGCCATGCCTTCGCTGGCGCGAGACTTGCACATCACCTCACAGGCGGTACTACAATTGACCATGTCGCTTTTCGTGCTTGGATGGTACGTTTCTATATGAGACCTTTGTATCATGTCGCGATACTGAAAGCTTGTGAATAGGACTTCAGGCCCACTTGTCATGGGGCCGGTATGTTGCAAATTGATCTCAATTCCATTCATGTGATACTTGCTGATGCCAAATTCGCAGCTATCCGAAGTTTTTGGTCGCGCACCAATATTGCATCTGGGAAACCTGGGGTTTATCATCTTCAATCTACTTTGCGGACTTGTTAGGGATCAGCGTCTATTTCTGCTGCTGCGGCTGGTTAGCGGCATCTGCGGCAGCGGACCTACTGCGGTAAGCCAACCCCAAGCATCAACCTGTCAAGGAGCTTTACCTTGGTACACCACGGAAGCTGATAATGTGGACTACCAGCTGGGCACCGGAGTCCTGAGTGACCTCTGGAAAAGTGAAGAAAGAGGATTCGCGCTCGCAATATACACAATCATGCCTCTCTTGGGGCCGACCGCGGGACCATTACTCGCTGGTTACATTGTGCAACACCATGAGTGGCCCTACATTTTTTATACACTTTCCTTGGTATCTGCCGTTGTCTTGGTACCTGGCGTTTTACTTCTCCCCGAGACATTTGGTCCCGTCATACTGCGTCGCAGACGGGCTGAGAAGCTCAGGAAACTGGGCCTCTCCACCACCGTGCTGAGAGTGGGCAACGTGAAACTCCATTCCACAAGAGAGCTCATCCAAAAGGGCCTCGCCAGGCCATTTATCCTTCTCGGCACCCAACCTATTGTACAGGTCCTGGCGCTGCAGTTTGGTTTCTTCTTTGGGCTATACCAATTGTCCATTGCGACATACCGTATGTTTTGATTGCAGGATTAGACAATCGCTTCATGATTCAATTCGCTAACACAAATCATACTAGACTCCTTGTGGAGAGATTTATACGACATGCCTCCTTTGCGAGCTAGCGCCAACTATCTTTCTATAACCTTGGGTCTGGTCATTGGTTGCGAGATTGCCGGCCCATTAGGCGATCTGGTAAGTGTATAAAACATGTGGCTGATTTCTATTACAAAGTAGCTAGTTCTCCTCTGTTCAAAGGAAACTATTCAAGAGTTGAAAAATATCACCTGCTACCTACTGACACCCGATCATGTAGATATATCGCACGCTGAAGAAGCGCAATAATAACGTTGGGCTTCCAGAGTACAGAGTCTGGCTCATGATACCGTCAGCCGTCCTCGTACCGGGCGGCCTTCTCTGGTTCGGCTGGTCGGCCGTGGCGCGCGCCCACTGGATCATGCCCAACCTGGGCATGGCGCTCGCCTCGATAGGCCTCGTCATGTCCTTCATGTGCATGCAGGCCTACATGATGGACGCCTACCCCGTGTACGCCGCATCGGCCCAGGGCGCGCTGACCGTTGCCCGAGCCCTGTCGGCGTTTGCCATGCCCGTCATGGCCCCTGCCATGATTGAAAAATGGGGCTATGGCTGGTCGAGTACCATTCTGGCCGGCGTGGCTGCGGTTCTGGGCGCGTTGGCTCCCGCCCTGTTGCATTGGAAGGGCGCCGCGCTGCGAGCTAGAAGCCCGTATGCCGCTGGGGATGCCATTTTGGAAGCGTAGGGTTATTGAGATTGAGATTGAGCGGACTCTATGAAGCTCATGGTTGCTACAAGGCTTGATTACGGGTACAAGCTCGAATGATTAGCATCCAAATTTAAACACTACACTTTCACCTAAATCCTTCCTTTGTAGCATTCGACGTCCTTTCCACACTTTCCACGTGTTGAGTAGACCGGCATTTCACTTCACGAACATCACGTCGAACGGTTGAACAATGATGACCAGGAATTTAAATGTGTACGAAACCAATACTCCAAGGGCGATTTTATCGCGCAATCTAGTGATTACCTCGATCTAAGGCCAATAGTACCCATTGGACACGACAAGCGGCCGGTATGCCACCATTCATGACACAAACAGCCAGACCAAGTGAAAGTCCTACCCTCTTGCTATCGCTATGTCTACCTAGTCAGCACGGTACAATGGGCCAATTCATCATTCAGGATGAATATAGAGACCCCACAGCCTAGATGGTTTTTCATCATTCATGGATTGTTCATCTGAAGAAAATGCTAT